GCATCCACCAGACTGGGGTGGGCGGCCGCGGGGACTGGGGCCACGCGGGTGGCCCAGCAGAGCGGCTGCAGTCCGAGCGGCACGGCTTCGCCGCCGCTGGCTACTGCAGCTCGAGCGGGCGGGCGGGTGGCTTAGCGCGATGGCGGCGGCGGCCTCCCGCAGCGCGGCGAGTGCACGTGTGGCGCTCGTGGCGGTGCTGCTGATGGCGTGCACGAGTCGCGGCCCGCTCGCGGACCGGCTGGCCGAGCCGGCGGGCGGGGGAGCTCCACCCTCCACCATGCAGCGGCTCGTTCAATCTCGCGGCGCCGAGGTACAGCCGAGAGATCGAGAGGTCGCCGAGAGGCCGCCGAGAGACCGCCGAGACGGTACTAGACGTGCACTACACTGCACGACACCACGACTCTGCTCAAACATCACCTCCTCTCACAGGAGCGGGTGAGGGTTCGCTTCGGCGGCGGCGGCGGCCGCACCTCTGCCGCCGCCACCGCTCTTGCGAGGACGGCGGAAGCGCCGAGCGGCTTGGTGGGGCGCAGCGCCAGCGCGGTGGCGCAGACGTGGCGGGAGGTGCGGGAGCACGCTTGCCCGGCAGAGCGCGGGGCACGATGAGTGAGCGAGGGAGCGAGTGAATTGAACTAGGTGCGCGAGCACGCCTCGCCGGCAGAGCGGGATACGATGGTGCTCCTCGCAACCGCCGCGCTGGTGACGCCGATCATGGGCACCCTCAACCTCTCGCCCGTCCTCGGCTTCCTCTTCGCCGGCATCCTCCTCGGCCCGTCCGGCCCGCGCGCCACTTCTCTTCCTGTTGTCCGAATGCGTTTCTGGCTTAGGCATCCTCCTCGGCCCGACCGGCCTCGGCGTTGTGTCGGATGTCGCCACCACGACCAAGCTCGCCGCGCTAGACGGGCAAGACGGGGAAGACGCCCACTGCGCCGCACTGCACGGACTCACTGCGCACGTACACTGTGCTCACACACTTGAGCACTCATTGAGCACACACACGCACGGGGCGCCAGGTGCACTCCCCCCCCCTCCCCCTCCCCTCCCCTCCCCTCTCCTCCCCTCCCGCCGCAGGCTCGCGGAGTTCGGCGTCGTCTTCTTCCTCTTCGAGATGGGGCTGGAGCTCGAGTTGGAGAGGCTCCAGATTCCCCGAGATTGCCCCGAGATGACCTAGGGATGACCCGAGGTGACCCGAGGTGACCCGAGGTGACCCGAGATGACCTCGAGATGACCCGAGATGACTCCGAGATGACCTCGAGATGATCCCGAGATGACCCGAGATGACCTCGAGATGACCTCGAGATGACGCGAGATGACCCGAGATGACCTCGAGATGACCTCGAGCTGACGCGAGATGACCTCGAGATGACCTCGAGATGACGCGAGGTGACCTAGAGATGAGCCGAGAGATGACTAGAGATGAGCCGAGAGACCTCAAGATGAGCAGCGCACTCGCGCTGTGTGCTAGGCTAAAGTCGGTGGGGCGCGACGCCTTTCGGCTCGGGGGCGCACAGTTCGCGCTCACCTCTCTGGTCTTCGGCGCCGTCGCCACCGCGTTCGGCGCCTCGGGGCCGGCGGCCGTCGTCTTGGGCGGCGGCCTCGCGCTCTCCTCCTCGGCCTTCGTGATCCAGCTGCTGTCGGAGAAGGGGGAGCTCGCCACCCGCTTCGGCCGCGCCTCCTTCGGCATCTTGCTCTTCCAGGACATCGCCGTATATCTCCCCCACATCTCCCCCACATCTCCCCCCCCCACCTCCGGCATCTTGCTCTTCCAGGACATCGCCGTCGTCCCCCTCCTCGTCGTCACGCCGCTTCTCGGTGGCTCATCCGGCGCAGCCCTCGGCGCCGCCCTTCGCGTCGCCGCTATCAAGAGCGCCTCGGCCCTCGCAATCATCTTCCTCACCGGGCGGCTGCTGCTCCAGCGCGTTTTTCAGCTCGTCGCGTCGGCGCGCGACCAGACCGCCTTCTTGCCGCCGTCACCGTCAGCGTTCATCGTGATGTCCACAGCCTCCCAGCCCCCCTCCAGCTCAGTCCCCTTCCCGCTGCTTGATCCAACCCTTGGCCCTCTGATGTCCGGTGCAGCACATGTACTCTTGGTGTGTGTGCTGTGGGCCCTCCTTGTCTCTGCAATAGACCGTGTGAGGTAACACCTACCTACCCACCTACCTACCTCCCCAGCCCTCCTCCGCCTCCTTCACCTACGCGCGTGCACCTCTCCTCTTCCCTCCCTCTGATCTGCCATTGCTGCCGTGGCCAGGCGCGTGACCAGACCGCCTTCCTCGCAATCACGCTGCTGACGGTGCTCTCGATGTCAGCCTTCACGCAAGCGCTGGGCCTGTCCGACACCCTCGGCGCCGTCCTTGCCGGCGAACCGCCGGGCCTGTCTCGGGCGCCTTCTCGGATGCCCTCTCGGAGCTCTGCCTGAAGGCGCGTTCCTCGCGGGGGTGCTGCTGGCCGAGTCGAAGTACCGGTACCAGATCGAGGCGGACATCGCCCCCTTCCGCGGCCTCCTGCTCGGCCTCGTTGTTCATGGGCCACCCGCTTCTCCATCGACCTGCCCCCCCCCACTGACCAGCTCGCTGCTGGTCTGCTGCTTAGGCCTCTTCTTCGTGACCACCGGCTTCTCCATCGACCTGCCCCCCCCACT